CAATCAGAGACTCCATGATCCCAGCCAGCTGTTTGCTGCCTCTGCCCACCATCACTGACCTGGTCCTGTACTCTCCCTGGAACTGTGCCACCACACCTGAAGTGACCTATGGCATTGCAACAGGGAAAATGAGGCCAGAGCACAGGATTTTTTACCGTAATCTTCCACTACCGTTTTTTTTCCATAGTATAACTGTTGTTTACAAACAGCAACCCCCGAACCTGCCAAACTACTGGAACTCACTGAAGAAAGTTGGAGGACACATGATCCCAAATATCAGTGTTAGCCCTCTGCAGCCACATGACGGTGTGTGGGAAAGATTTAAGTATCTCTCAACAAAATATGGCCCACCAGGAAGAAACCACATCGTCATCCCGTTCATCCACCCAGGAGAGAGTGAAAGTGTCCCGTTCTCTGTCGTTGCCTTGGCTCTGTCCCTGGTGCTCCTCTCTTCCAGGTTTAAAGCCACCGTGCACCTTGATGCCTGTCTGAGTGATAAGTCTACAGGACAGAAATCTGACAGGAAGCATCTGCAGGAGCAGTACTACTGCACTGAAGACAACACTGGGATGACCTGTTCACCAGATGCATTCGATGTGAACTGGTGGGATTATTTTAAAAGTCTATTTAATGCACTCCATCCACATCTTATCATCTTTTCTGTGTCTGTTTTTAAAAAGCTGTTCCGGAAACATCAAACTATAAAAGCAATTGTTTTATTTGTTGTTGTTTTTTTTCTTGTTGAGGTCAGATTTAAAAAGAAAGTCACACCGAACTCGTATTAGAACATATGTTTGGGTTTAATTACAATTGCAGAAGCTTCCAGTAGTTTAAAGGTGTCTGCTGTCTATCAGCCAGTTTCACTTCTTTAATGAAGCCTACATGAACCAGCCTCCAGATTGTTTTGCACTTTAATGTCTAGTTTCGCTCCATGCTGAGCTTCCGCAGGTCTATTAGCCATGGTTGACTGCAGAAGTTCAATGTAGTGATTAGAAGTCTATAATGACAGGCTGGACATGGTGTCTATCACAGGATGGTAGGAAGTATTTTATGATTAAAAATATCACAACAGAACTAAACAGTTGGCATCAGTTATGACCTCACTCAGACACTTAAAGGTTCAGTTTTCTTTAGTCTCACAGTGATCCAGTCAAAGATGTCTGCACTCACTAATTTGTGTGTGTGTGTGTCTGTTTGTTTGTTTTTCTAAAAGGGAAATGCTGAAAAGATTAATAAACCTTGCAACAGAAAACTGCAAAGATGAAACTGTCCTGCAGTGGCTGAGAGAAAATTCAGAGTCTGGCACCTTCAGAAAAC